TCTTTTGTGCTGTATAATCTTCCTTTTTAAATTAATATAAAAAAAATCTGACGGTGGTGTGGTCTATTCCGTGTACCATGCCTGTGAAAATAGACATGCGCAGAGTGTGCGAACGGAGGTGGACTCCCTATTATCGCGGTATGTGGGAAGTGGTTTTTATAAGGCAGTGGATATTTTGTCGGAGACGGCAAACCTTCAGTAAACGTTAGTTTGCCGGATATGCACTTAACATGCGCAGTTACTTTTTTTTTGTACTTTAACATTTTCCGGTGACAAATTTTAGTCTGGCTCCATGCCAATATTATCGTTGTATTTTATCGTTTATTTACAAGATGGGAATCAGACCATTTTATAATTTCGGACTTTATTTCCCTTTAAAAAAAATCCTCCAGAGCCACAAATCTGAAAAAGAAAAAGTAATACTCTGCTATAAAATGTTTTGAGACATTTTAAAATAATAAAAGAAGAATATTCTTATTTATTTGGGGATGGGAAAAAAAAACTTAAAATTATGGTGGGGATCAGGATTCGAACTCGGGAAATCCCACTCACTTGCGCCATTGCTTAACCACTGCACCAACTGTGCTACACAACTTTGGTGGGAATTTAATACATGTTATAATTCAGCCCTATCTTAAAGAGTGCAGCGCCCTCTGTTGATATGGATTGCCGCTGGCAAACCTTTAGTAAACGTTAGTTTGCTGGCGTTACCTCCGGCAAAATATCCACTACCTTTTTATAATGATCCCAACTTTTTTGTTCATAGTTAATGTTTGACCAAAACATCACCTGAATAAAGTCTGATATTTTCCCTGTAACGTTCAAGTTGATTAAAGACTATATTTCTGCAGGATGATTTCTTAAAACCCTGCCCTTCCCCCGAAAGGAGAACACAAATCCCCGAGGCAAGTCTATTGATCGGCGATTGAGGGCGCCATTCACTTTACGCGGTGTGCCGTTTTATTTTCGCTAACGTGCGGTGCTTATTTTGATCCCGTAAAAATTGTTACGATTTCGCGCTGCAAATAGCGTAATTCGACTTCATTTTACATTTGCCATGTTTGCAGCTGAAGAATGGCAACCAGACAATGGAACTTTCATGGACAGAGCATAGCTGGAGTTACCAAGCCCCGAGTTTTATCATTGGGTTGTCGCGGGGGGTACGGTACATGCACTTGTACGCATGTACTATCATTTCGCCTGTACCGTACCCCCCGCGGCGCGCTCCGAGCGAACCGAAAATCATCGCTCGATCATAATTATGCGTGCACGTTTCAAGTGTTCGGTTGGCTCAGTGCGGAAAGGGCATATTTTTCATCATTTTGGCCTAAAAACCGACAGAATCCACCTATGTTAGTTCTGCCCATGATATGTGAGTATGTCAAGAGGTAAAGTACGGAGTATAGGGGCAAACTGTGCAGCGGTTCTGTGTGAAATGTCTGCATTTTGATGGACGTTTTTGTACTTTATTAGTGTTTTGTGCTGCAGACAATTTTGCGGGCTTCTAGATCTATGAGGCTCCGCTCACGCGGAGCCTCATAGTTCTAGGAGTACGACTATACCACATTCTAACGAACAGGTTATTCCTCCAGCGCTTCAAGTGAATGAATATGGAACATTGTCAGCTGGAGTTACTCTAGCCCCACTAGTGTGGCCGTCGGTATGCTGCGCTGAACCTTTGGCCATGTCACGCACCAACTATCGCATCGGTCCCAACTATAGTTGGGCCTGTCCCAACTATAGTTGGGCCTGTCCCAACTGTAGTTCCACAGTTGGGCTGGCCCAACTATAGTTGGGCCTGTCCCAACTATAGTTAGGACGGTCCCAACTGTAAGTTCCACTGTTGGGCTGGCCCATCTATAGTTGGGCCACTCCGATCTTTTTATTTTGCGGTGTCCCAACTATAGTTTACATTGATGTACAACTGTAAAACGTTCCCTACAGCTCTGATACACGTCTGACTTTACTGGGGACCACTGAAATTAGCTATTGATGGGGCGAATCTATAGTTGGGCCACTCCAATCTTTTTATTTTGCGGTCCCAACTATAGTGTACATTGTTGTACGATTATAAAACATTCCCTACAACTCTAATACACATCTGACTTTACTTGGGACCAATGAAATTATCTATGGGTGGGGACCATCTGTAGTTGGGCCACCGCAATATTTTTATTTGGCGGTCCCAACTATAGTTTACATTGATTTACGACGACTATAAAACATTCCCTACAGCTCTGTTACATACTGTCCGACTTCACTTGGGACCTTTGACATTAGCTATGAGTGGGGCCCATCTATAGTTGGCCGGCCATGGCAATCTTTGAATTTTGCAAAATGTTGCTGGACAATCAACCCAGCAGCTGGACAACTCATCCAACTAGGCAGTACCACGTGACCGGCCAGCCTTGGCCTTGCGGCATGCATGCACGACGAATACACGGTGCCAGCGCCGCGGAACATTTAATCCAACAAGATCTATCAAGCATGAAGCATCCGGCGCAACTCCAGTCCTAACTATAGTTGGGCCGACCCAACTGCCGCACTATAGTTGGGACAGTCCCAACTATAGTTGGGACCGATGCGATAGTTGGGGCGTGACAGCCACACACCGTGGTACCGCGCGCTACTGAGGACGAAGTTTTCATAAAAATTCAGGGCAGTTTCTTACATTCTCAGTTTCTTACTTTCTTATGGTTGTATTCTATGATGTCTCACCTGTCACTTCTGGGATGCTTAGGTCTAATGATGTTCCATTTTCCGAGATATTCTTCAATCTTTCTGGAGTCCATATGCACTCGTGAAACGTCTGGTGATGGCAGCCATTTTGAATGGGACAAGAGATGACCTCAAGCTGTGACGTCGCGTTTATGCAAATTGCTTGTCGAGCGCGGGGGCGCGAGTTGCAAATGCGACGGCTGTTTCCTGTACCATGCATTTATCGTCAGGGGGCCACGTGCACCGATCTCTATTCAGGATTTTTGGCACAGAAAACAGCCGTTTGTCGGACACTCGGCGCGGCTTGCCATACAAACACGAGGTCATGATCTAAATAATGCATATTCATTATCTTGCCCAAGCGGGCTCGCATAATGCACATTACAGCGCGGCCGCCATTTTGAAATTGCATGGGGGAGCATTTTCGGGACGATATTTGTGGAAGATGATGACTGAAAGTCGTCTTTAGGCCAGATGGATGAATATATTGAGACCAAAGAACGTTTTTTCGAAAAGGTATGAGTTGCTCTACGAATACAGGTCAACTCGTACGCGAACCAACTCGTACGCGACCAACTCGTACGCGGGACAATTCGTACGCGAACCGACTCGTACGCGGACCAACTCGTATGCGGACCGACTCGTACGCGGACCAACTCGTACGCGGACCAACTCGTACGCGTGAGTTTAGACGATTGGTTTAGCTCACATGGACAGACGAAATTAGGTTCGGTACGGTAGGACCATCGCACCAAATTAATACTGGCCATCATATATTTTGTTATGCTGCAAACAGATTTAAAATGGCTCAAAGGATATAATTAAAAAGGAGAGGAAATGAAAATGGAGAGGGCAAGGAAGGTTGGGGAAGAACAATAATAAAAAAGGAGAGAACAATTACATTGGGGCGGAATGTGCAGGGTTCGACCTCAACTTCTTTTGTTCACTATAGCCAGCCGGGCTACTGGCCCACGGGCATTTCTACTAGCCCGCATTTTTTTCTTATCTCAGATACAAAATGGCGTATTTTCAAGCGCAATTCTGAGGGAATTTTGTTGGTGTTTTTGATTAACAGATCAGATAATTTAATCCTTTAAAACAGTTGATAATTAGACACAAATTAAAGGGGTTTCCTTTTTGAATTTTATGATTTTTTTTTTTCTTTCTGTTCGTTGATCTTTGCCGTATCCCAATAATTTTTCACTCGCACGCCGGCCTGGTTAAGGAATAATTTGTCTAGCCCCGGCCGCCGCTGTTTTGACAAGCATTTGGTTAGCGGGCTATACCGCTAATTTCGAACCCTGATGTGTTATGTGTTATACCTCCATGGTTATACCAAGCATTTCAGTTGTAAATAGAAATTGCTAGGCCTACGGATGTCCCCGCGTGTCTGCTTTTTAATTGATCAATGGTTGTGAACCACAATAAAAGTTGAGTGACAGGCAGTTGACAAGTCTGATCGATCTCTTTTGATCTTCTAAACCCGCCGGTTCTTTTAGGACACCGAACCGCGAGAACAGATCCATGGTAGTCCAGAGCGTTGCAATTGGGTCAGTTTGTCAGTTTGACAATGGTGACAATTAATTGACTGACAGGTACATTGATTAAAAGAACACGAAAAATGCAACTGGTACATCGTTGCATTAATATATGGAATTAAATTTGACGTGACAAGGCTACAGGTATGCACAAAATGATACAACACTCGTCTAACTACAAAAATCAGTTACTTTATTATCATCATTCACGGGTTCACTCCCAATCACACACAACGGTCACACATTGAACTACGGACTACCCGTCACACTATTCCCAAATTTCCCAGGCCAACCCAATCCTCGAAACCACTCCTAAAACGGCCCGCGTACGAGTTGGTTCGCGTACGAGTTGGTTCGCGTACGAGTTGGCTCGCGTACGAGTTGGCTCGCGTACGAGTTGGCTCGCGTACGAGTTGGCACGCGTACGAGTTGGCACGCGTACGAGTTAGTTCGCGTACGAGTTGTCTCGCGTACGAGTTGACCAATCCGCGTACGAGTTGACTCGCGTACGAGTTGGTTCGCGTACGAGTTGACCTGTTTCCTGCTCTACGACTAAGAACCTTAACTTTGGAAATTTTTGTCCTGGATGAAAAGATAATCTCGATCGAAATCTGTAGCAAAATCGCTACATCAGCGGCCAAAAAATTCAGTCTTTTTGGAAGCATTGGGCGTCTGGCCGTACTACAGAGCTTGCGATAGTACTGTACGGCCAGACGCAGTCGGGCTAGCTAATGACATACTTACGTTTATGTGGCTACCAAACGAAATGGCTCGATTTGTTCTCAGACTCAACTCCATGTATCGGTATACCCCATGTATCACGACTCAAGTCCTTGCAGTCAGTATATAGCGCGAATGCGAAAAACAACAAGATTCTCTCTCGTGTTCTTATTCCTCCATGCTCATAACATTTCCTACCTCCATGCTCATAATATCTCAACACGTTTTGTACTAAGCTGGGGGGCCCACTTATGTACATATGTACACTAGTATACTACCGTACCTCGCCCTGCAAATATAAATAGCATGCAGCATACTCTGAAGAATTCACGCTCTGATTGGTTGGATTTTGCGTGACCAGTGACCTGCGCGTCATGACTCCGCAAGGTTTGAAATAGACTTGACTCAAGTCGGAATTGCCTTAAGTCGGTATCTTAATTTTTTTTAAAGTAGCAAAAATCACTTAGTTTACGTCTTTCCGGAAGCCCGACAAGCAGTGACAAGGTACACTTCAAGGCGCACGTTCCACTTCAGTGCCGTAAAACAATGCGCACACACTGTATGTACATTGTACAATACGCATATTATACGTACATGTACATGTGTGTGCATGTACATGTATTTCAGAGCATTGTGCACGTGTCCGAAACGGGCTTCCAGAGCTACGGCTACGTCTATTGTCAGCGCGTCCCCGCGTATTTTCAATGGGCGCGGACCTAGACCTAGCTCCACTGATCTCTATAGACGAATCCGATAGACTATGCATGGAGGGGCGCCCTCATTCGACACGGACATTGTAGGGGGCCAGTGTCGCTTAGCAATCGCGGCGGGCGCCAAATATAAACAATTTTGTACAGCGACAATTTCCAGTCTAGTTTTTATTAAGTGCGAACAAATACAAACACGCACGGTTGACTGTGAGTTCTGTATCTAATATAGTCGGTAAAACATCCAAGGGGAAACATCACACCAACTTAGAGAGGAGACAGTGAGAAGAAACTATAGTTTTAGAGGTTTATTTATTTATTTTTTATTTGTTGTTAACTTGTAAGTTGTAGGCCTAATCTGTAACGTGAGGGTAGGACCCCTACTCCCCCTAGTCCATTCCAGTTAAAAAAAAACTGCTTTCCAAAGGAGCCCTCACAAACATGACAAAGAGGTGAGAGGAAAAACCCAGCCCAGAAGCTATTCTGGGGAAAACCCATGGAATCAGGTAGGGACTGAAAACCCAATCCACATATTGGCCGAGGCGGGATTCTAACCCTGGTCACAGCGGTGGAAGGCGAGGAAAGTACCGCTACGCCAACCTGGCTCCCCCATAGTTGAGCATAAGAATTCTGCAAAAAAAAACTATGGATGCGTGGAAGGACGACGTTCGTGACTGGCCAAAGCTTGAATTTCAAGGTAAAAAACCACTGTTTACGTGGTGTTTTAGCATGTTTAGGCTAGGCCTAACGTTAACGCCAAACATCAACTTGCTTTTGGAAATCGGATGACTGTAATCACTGACATGAAACGATGATGAACTTTACTAGGTTTAGATCATTTTTAGGAAAGTGATTGATGTTGATGAAAAACAGTGTTAAGTTGTGGGCAAATTCATTGCATCAAAAGGGAACAAATAATTAGTGTAGGCCTACAGCATTTATGCATTCATGGCATTCGGACAGTGCCGCTTAATAATATTACTAGTCCTATTACAGGAACGATGTAGAAACAGTTTGGGATTCAACGGGTTTGTTGGGTTCAGGAATCGAAGCCGGTGTCAGTGGGGTGATCAGGCCATTTTAATACTCACTCTTTTGTCAGCAAATTTCTCCAAAAATTCCATTGGGCAAAGAAAAGGTCCTCAGTATTTTACCAACCAAAATGGCAGACTCAATCCATGGTCTGACTGTGTCAATTTTTTGCTGTCATATTTTTTGGGGGCTAGTATAATTCTAGTTTCACAATTTTTTAAGGAAAACATGTATGCCAAAGATTAAACAGGCATGCAGCTTTTCCAGGGTGACTGTTTAAGCCGATTTTCGGCTAACTTTGACAGATTTTTTGTAAAAAAAGAAACGAGTTTGACAGAAAATTTGACAGAACTTATTTTTTGGGCAGATTTCTGGCAGAATTCTGCAAAAATGGATATTTGACAGAAAAACAGCAAATTTGAAGAAAATGGTACATTTGTTTAAAGTAGATTCAATCTTTTCAAACAAACCCTTGCATGATGGGACAGATTGGCTGGTCTAGGTACGGAGGTTCACTAGGAACCGGATTTTGTCGTGAAGCAACCACGTTTTGCCTGAAATTTACGCAATTTCGTAACATTTTTTTGTGACAATGGATTGTTTGTAATGTAATTTGAACCTTAATTAAGGCAATACTACAACATCTGCGTGTGATTTTAAGTGTTTATAGCGCATTTCGAGCAATCTGGGAAATCTGGAAGATTTTGAATAATTTTGACAGATTTTTGAAGTGCATTTAGCAGAATTTGGTCATGACCTTACGGTCACCCTGAGCTTTTCCTCTTTCCCACTCATTGTGCCACTCAAAGTAAAATTTTATTTGAATTTTCTTCACAGATATCTATGACTACTTCATTAATGCTCCAGCATGTGATGAGCAGCCTAACCGAAACTTTCGAAGCATCAGCGAGGGTATCAACTACCTGAACTCGGGATGGGTGGGCACCATCAAGCACCGCCATCATGAGGATGGATCAACTGTCATCTTGAGGGGGACAGTGAGATTTTCACAGCAAATCTCCAGCTATCATCAAGTGGAGATCAGTGTTGACAAAGAAAATAGAACAATCAAGTCTGTGAAATGCGACTGCATTGCTTCGGAAGGGAAATGTTGTAGTCATTCAGCAGGCCTGTCCTTCAAGATAAATGAGGCATACAAGAAAGGTTTCATCGGCATCACCTGTACAGACAGACCTTGTTTGTGGAATCGGAGCACTCAAGGTAACGTGGTGCCCGACAGTGTTGAAAACATGTGCGATCCAACCTCAAAGTCCACAATGAACAGTGCTCTTGCATTTGACACGGACGAGGCACTGAAAAAGCACCTGAACAGTCCACACATGTGTGAGCTCGCGTCCATACCGGGCACAATTTTAAATCAGGTGCTGACATCTACACAAACTTGCAAACCAGCCAACAGTGATCAGCCCCTCCCTGTTCATGGACATCATGATGTCAATCTTGAATGCGAGCCTTGTCAAGAAATTTTCAACAACTACATCCTGTTGAAAGACCACGAGGCAAGAAAACTTGCCTGTCAAACACACAATCAGAACTCGGCTTTGTGGACATCGCAGAGGAAGCTCCGAATTACAAGTAGCTCAGCAGCAAGTGTCCCCAAGAAAACAGAGACAGACCCAACAAAGTGGATCATGAATCACATCAGGCCACACTTCCTTGGAAATGCGGATACTTGTCACGGGCACACATACGAAGCTACTGCAAGGGAAGCCTTTGAACATCAATTTGAAACACTTGTAGAAACCACAGGTTTAGTTGTAAACCCAGAGGAAAGTTGGCTTGGAGCAAGTCTGGATGGAATTGTTGACGACAACACAATTTTAGAAATAAAATGTCCCACTGAGAGGAAGTTGGAGCGATATGGTGTTACTGTTCGAGGACTAGTGGAAAGTGGGACTTACGATGTTCGAAGTAGAGAAGGGAAATACTTCCTTCGTCAAAGTTCAGCAGCTAGTGGTTACTACACCCAGGTACAAATTGCCATGTACTGTTCGAAGCGACCCATGTGCAAATTTATGGTTTGGTCAAAGAAAGACTACGTTATAGCAGATGTCAACTTTGACAATGAGTGGTTTGAGCAGCGTCTAGGTCAACTGCGAAAATTCTACTTCAAGCATCTTTTGCCAAAGCTTACAGATTCAATAATTTCAAGGGAACTAAAAATTGTAAAACCAAGAATCTAGATGCATGTAAGAGGCTAAAACTGAAAACAATAAATGACCACTATTATGTGTCGGGGGAAAAGATTAGTCGATACATCACACTTGTTTAGTTGAGGACTGTGTTGACTGTGACTTTATTCCATGACAATATTTAATATTCATTGATTATGATCAACTGACCTGGATAGTACTAGTTTATATGAACTATAGCTCTACTGTAAAGCTTGAACTGCTAACTGGGTACTACATGTACATTGTATATGAGACTGAAGAGGAATGTGAAACTGAACTGCTACTGAGAAAGTGTGCTATTGATGCAGAGGTTAATATACTATTCAGTATGCAATTAAAGAAAAATCTGTTAAGACACAACATTTTCACATTCTATATTGAACTATTCTGAACGAAGCAATGTTATGCTAGGTTCACACATTACCGAATTAGTTATAAATACAACAAAAATTAATCAGGAATTGAAATTGGCTCCTGAATCACCCCAACAATTTTGAACATGTTCAAATTTCAAATTAGGTTTTGTCCTTCACCGACGTTTAAACACTGTATACTCGGTGTGTTTCCTCCCGAGTGAAAGTTGGAAAAAAGTTGGTAACACACTGAGTATACGGTGTTTAAACATCGGTGAAGGGCAAAACATAATTTGATTTATATCACCCCGACGCAAAATTCCATCTTATGAATGTTCAAATTTGTCAGGGTGCTTCCTGATCTTTAACCTTACAACCAAAATCATCATGAGGCAGCCAAGAACCATCCCCGATTTACTAAAAAACTGCTATTCGTGACGATTCGGCTTAAAAATGAGGAATGTGTGAACCTAGCATTACAAATCAATTTTTTAACAGTGCCATACTGCTTAATTTGAGGGGAAAGTGACATACACACGTAATAATGTACTCAGGATATCTGGTAGAGGCCTGGAGTCCCCCTTCATTTGTGTTGGTCATTGTGTTAACTGGAATCTGTAGATTTTTTTGAGGTACATGTACCTGAGGGGGATGTGTGAGGTAACAATGAATGAAGTATCATTTTATTATAACTATTATTTATTATTATTATATATTTTTCGGGGGGGGGGGGGGGGTGTGGCAAACACGGGTGTCCGATACACTCCGAAACACACGCCAGATAAACAGTAAAATGGGGGGGGGGGGGCTGTTCAAAACCCTTAATTTTTATGTGAGGGTGTCCTGTCTTAATAAACATTCACTGTACAGTACAGTAAAATATACATGTATTGACTAAATGTTTTTTCTTTTCTTTTCCCTTTCAATTTTTTTTCTTTAATACTTGGGAGATTTAGTAAGGGGGGACAACTGGCGGGGTGGCAAGGAAGAACATTGGGGGATGCCCCTTGCCAAAGTACAAAAAAAATACTTCAGCACAAACCTGATGATGTTTAATTATGCTTGCACTGTACATGTACATGTATGACTTGAGAAGTTGAAGGTTTGCAGCCCGGTGGAAGGACAAAAGCCTATGCTTTGCAGTAGCACCATGTTCATAAAGTCTAATCGCTTTTGTGACTACTACTGTACATGTATGTGTGGTTCTGAAAAGATCATGTTTTGTTATGTGACGGGTTGGACAGAATGCTTTGTCTGTCTTCAGACTCCTGAAAATGGACAGCACACTGTCTAAAACTTTGTGTAACAAAACACATGTTGTTTTCAGAACCTACATGTAATAGCACAGTCACTAATTAGACTACATGCACATGTACATGTACTTGCTGCAACTGCAAACCATCTTTATGTCAAGCACATTCATACTTTCAAATCTTGTCATTTGTTTTGAAGATGGAAACACACATTCAAAATCAATTTCAGCAAAGTCATACATGTAAATGTACTTATTCCTCCACTGAAAAAACGTTTCCCTCCTCGTCATTAGAATCACTATCACTTGTTTCCTGGGCTCTGTCCTCATTAATTAGGCAAGGCTGTAAATTGCAAAGTCCAGCACATGTAATCAATATGTCATCTACATTTTTTACTCGCATCGGAATGATATTGGCTAAAATTTTGAAACATTTCAATCGTCTGATTGCCCTTTCAACATGAATTCTTACGTTGGCAATATGTCGTGTTTCTGTCACACTTTCCTCTGGTAGACGCCTGTCCTTGAGTCCTCTTGTGAAGGCTGGGATAGATAACTTCACACCATGTGGAAGAATATCTTCGATAGTGAAGGCACGGTCAGCTAGAACCTCGTCACCGGGGAGCAAGTGGTCCAAAAAGCCAGAGTTCTGAGAGATGAAAGTGTCACTGGCACGACCTCCAAATAATTTGGAAACATACGTCACCAAACATTTGGTGCAATGCAGTACAAGGCCTTGTAGGTATTGTGATGTTTGTAGTTAGAATAAGTTTGGGCACGTTTTCTCAAGTTCTTGGGTCTCTGAACAAAGATTTCAGTGCAGTCTATGATGCAGGTAGCCTTAGGATGACAAGACTCGAAACATTTGGGACGTATCCTGGCAAGCGTGTCACGTGATGGCCAAAATATGACATTTTCTCTCATGAATGTAGCCAAACGTGGTACCCAGAAGGAGATAATGTCACAGACTGTGGAACGAGACACTTTGAAGCGTACTCCAAGATCCCAGATCATCAGGGCTATTCTTAATCTCATCAAAACAAGCAAAAGTTGGTCTGGCACTGGTAGTTGAAATTTAGGGGTGGTAGTAAGAGTCACTACAAGCGCATTCACAAGCGCCCAGAATGATTGCACGCTAAGTCCGGTGTAAAACTTCATATCAGATTCTTGAAGATTAACTGCTGATACTTCTGGAGCCTTGACTGTTTGCGTACCTTTTGCCTTGGATTTAGTGATAGGATTAACATGTGCATAAGTATGGTCAGCTACTCTGGCATCATACCACTGTACTGATGCATCCTTCGTCTCTAATCCTGCTGTTTGTACACATGTTGATGTTCTCTCAACACCATGCGGACTCATATTTGCAACCCCTCCAGCCTTTTCTTGCACTGTCACTGCTTTTGTTGCTGTGGAAACTCTTCTCCTAGGGGGAGGCCTTCCTCTTGAGAGCTGTTTCTGTAAAAAGAAAAGTAAACCTGTACATTACATTTGTTGTTGAATCCTCAAACCCCAAGTCCAAGCCCCAAGTTTTGAAACTTTCTGTAATTTCATGCGAGCATAGGATCTTACATTGCCAAGAAATTTGAAAAAAAAAAAACGACGACCTCAACACAACAAGAAACGTACATTTGTACGAGCACAACTTTTGATTTTTCCGAGGTCACACAAAACGCTGGTATTCTGAGTCATGCACGTGCAAAATGGTAGGAGCGGATCTGTCCGGTAACCCGTACAATCATGTGCATCGAGTGTTTCTTCAGTTCTCTGGAGCATGGCGTTGTTGATGACACGTTCACGGGTCTAGGTCAGTAGGTAGCTGTGTTTTGTTATATGTAATTACAGATGTACCCAGTAAAATAGAATATTTGTATAAATTGGAGGAGTACTAGACAAGAAGAAATAAACGTTTCTTTATCAATATTTATATTTGTTGTGGGGGGGGGGGGGGGAGATGCTTCCAAGAATATTTCTCTGAAAACCAAACACAAACTCCATACTGGGAACAAAACTTGACTATTAATTTACAGGACTAGCTTGATTTAGACTTACATATGGGATATATCCCATGGCCACAGTTGGGTAAGGGTGAGCTGATGTTGGCTTCCCTTCTTCAAAATGGACAGAACATACCTGAAATAAAAAAGAAACAAACAGACAGCAGATCAGATGGTAAGTTGTGGACAAATTCTGACAAAATATTTTGGATGGGAGCAACCCATGCAACACAAACCTTTTTGTACGGGGCCGAAGCACTCAACAAACATGCAAAACATACATTAAAAATAAATTTGATTGCACTTGTCTTTACACTGGCATTTTATTAAACAGTGGCAACTGTGTACATGTATCTATGGACCCAGTTCCCTATAGGGAAAAAAATCCACTTTAAAATTATTAGACCGACCAAACTAGTTTGTGACATTAGGAAATAGGAATAAACCGGTACTCCATAGATAGAGGGCAATGTTTTGAATGTTTGAAGGGAAATTGGGGGGTTAAATGAAAATGACAGTGCAGTGACAACACGCAACCCGAAAATAAAGATGGCGATCACTGCGCGATGTACCGTGAACACAAACAGCACTGAATTGCTAGGCACCAACTGGCAGAAAACCGTGCAGAAAAATTGTGATTTCTACCCCAAGAAACTCAGTTCAGAATTACAAAAACCTAGAATTGAGAGAAGTCCGCTCTTGATTGAAAACGTCATTTTGGAGCAACAACAAACATCTATGAGTATATGACACTAATTTGATCAAAACTAAACAGGGGCCCTACACTACACGATTGCCCCCCCCCCATTTTTTTTTAAAACAATTAAATACATTAATTTCCCAGGCTATATTCATACTATTAGTAGTACCGTATTAGTAATATAAATAAAAAATGGGGGACATAATTTAAAACTCAAGCCACTGTCACTGAGTGGCAAAGACGCACCTCTACAAGGCCTACCACACAAATTAAAAGCTGATTTAGGCCTACCCGTAAACCCATGTCCCAAATTACTGGATACCATTCCAACAATCATGACCAAACATGAAGTATGAATTGAAGTACCGTCTGATGAATTACACAGTCCTTCCCTGAAAAAGGAACTTACAGTGCTGTATTTTGAAGGTCTGAAGTCCTTTCGGTTGATATTCCTCACCCACTGCTTTCGATTGGCTGCGGAATTGGCGTTGGAACAGTTGGGGAAACGATGCATTTTGTACGGCTGTAAACACACACAATATTCGTGCGTTTCTGATGCATGCAATTCGCATGCTGCAAGCTTCCATTTTCTCAGCTTTTTGCTTGTATTTTTGCAGCCAACGACGACACAGTGTTTTCCTGATCCTTCGTTATTCTTCTTCGTTGTTTCTTTAGCCATAATGTTTTCAAGAATCCCGATAAAAGCCTAAAATTGGAGCTCGATACGCATGGTTCCAGTTCGTTCACTGTTGCCACTTACATGACTTACACGTACACAAGCCCGTCGTTTAGCGGTTTTTAAAAATGGCCCTCGGAATGGCAAATGCAACAGCGCCGCCAACGACAAAGGTAACAAAATTGTCTCCGTTGGATTCGTCTATATAAAGACTGGATAGCTAATACAGAGCCGCACAATGTACGAATTTGACGCCATATTGGTGAGACCGGCTGGTGATCTACAAAGGACAAGATGCCGTTTTTATAGACGGCATGATTTCTTTTGTAACGTCGCGGTTCACTTGACTTATATTTTGACCACCACCACTGACCAAGGTTAACTACAATTTTTCTAACGTCGTGGTTACTAAAATGCCGCAAATATAACTTTTTCGGCGTTTTGAAATAATAATCACTACGGAAATGTGTCCCTTTTAGAACATCATAATATGTGTACGTGACCAAAATGCGCGTCAACTGTTGATACAACGCGCGCGTATTTACGCGTAGAACGTTCGTATTATACGCGGCCATCTTTGTGAGACGGGGCGAATTGGTCAATATGCAAAGTCTACTGTGTGAATGTTGTATGCATATCCGCTATCCAGTCTTTATATAGAGATCAGTGCCTAGCTCTAGACAGTTGATTCGGACGCAGCCTAAAATTAGCAATGCCCGATCCAGTAAGCACCGCCCCATGGTATTCTGACCAATCACAGCCGTGATTTATGTCCGAAATGCGTGCATAAAAGTCCGACATGCGTGCACGCGCGTATGATGCGCGCGGCAGGAAAATGCAGTGAGGCATTGGAGAGGAGCACGTGCTAATTTGCCCAGTGCGCAGTGGGAGGGCTCACTGGATCGGTCCATTCCGACTTGATCAATCTGCCATCAGCACCCCCCCCCCCCCCCCCCCTCGCCAAGGGCGGATCCAGAACATAATTTTTGGGGGGCCCAAAAAAAATTTTGGTCCCCCCAAAAAGTGGGTCTAAAAAATTACGGCGTGGGGTTCGGGGCCCGCTAGGGCCCCGAAATATTTTTGGATTCTAGATGCTCTGTGGTGCGATCTGAGGCAATTTCTGACCACTTTAACCAATTTTTTTGGAGGAAAAGATGGTGGTGAACTCATTGCCTGCCTTTATTGCGATGTCACATTAAAAAAAAAAAAAAATTGGTTTCGTTTTGGGGGGGGGCCATGGCCCCCTTTGCCCCCCCCCCCCCCCCCCCCCCTGGATCCGCCCTTGCCCCTCGCGTGCGCGCGCCTGTATTATAAAAATGGCCCAAGAAGATCACCAATAAAGAACTGTACAGGAGAACCAACGAGATCCCTTGGAGTACTGCCATTATACCCGAAGACGTCTTAGGTGGACAGGCCATCACCTGAGACTACCCGAGGAAGCTCCTGCCAAGCAAGCACTTCTAGGCAATCCGCAAGAACAAGCTACCAAGAGGGGGACAACGAACCACGTGGCTGAAGAGAGTAAACAAGGACCCGACAACCACGGGGGTCAACATCAAGGATCGATGCACGTGGCACGTGGCATCAGACAGAGAACAGTGGAGAACACTTACAGAGTGCGCGATGTCAGATCAACTTGACGTAAGCGCCTAGATGAGATAATGAAACACCGTCTCTATGCATATGCAGCAACATCGCATGACCAATCAAAGTAACCAATTTTTTAAGACTCATTTAATATTTTCAGTAGGTATGGAAGGCTGGATATAACAATCTGCAAAAGTTTTAAAAACGTAATCTTAATTTGTAGATTTCAAACACACTATATTTGGATGATAATGCTAACTTGATCAGCTGCTCTTGGATGGAATTGATACAGAACATGACATTCAAATGTAATTCAAAACAAAAGGGAATTTTATTGGGGTTTAGTAACCTGTAAAAGATGTTGAGATTCAATGATACGCGCTTCGTGTTGTGCGACCCATCAGAGCCGTTTCAAAGCATTCGAACGTACGCGTGCCTGTCCCTGTTTCTACTCCTCACCATGGGATGTGTGTGCGTTCTCCGCGAAACTTTGGCTGCGCAAATACACGCAGACAACGCTGATTGCGCGTTAGGAATAATATCAAAACAACCTGCGCGCGTTTTTAAGAATAAAAACGCTCATTACCTGAAATACTGTGAAGTATGAAGCCCGGGAAGGGACAGGGTGGAATTTTTTTTGGCATTTGCTAATTCGTTCGCACGAATTACTAATTCGTTCGCACGAATTGCTAATTCGTTCCCACGAATTGCTATTTCGTTCGCACGAATTCCTAATTCGTTCGCACGAATTACTAATTCGTGCGACTGAATTACTAATTCGTGCGAACGAATTAACAAACTCCACGAATTACGAATAGGAATTCGTGCGAACGAATTACTAATTCGTTCGAACGAATCACTAATTCGTTCCCACGAATTACTAATTCGTTCCCACGATTGGATACCGCAATTGGCTAGTAATGGATTTTTATCGTGTACTTGGTGTTGTTATTCACAACGTGCAGTACGTGTTTTCGCGATCATTCGTCCACGCCTTCTCGAAAATATTAATTTCCTTTCCAGTTTGTTAATATTAATATATGAAATGTGATACTGCATATTGTTTCGTTAAGATCGTAACAGTTTAATTGAATAAACATCGTGTTTTCGTAACTCACGCCATGCTCGCGCTGCTACGAATTGACTCTGTCTTCACCCCAGACACCCCATACAAAAACAAACGCTAATGTAATGCAGATGCAGGCACCAGACTATTCCTCATTTGCATACGTGTGCAAAAATCTTGCACATGCAAATGATCCAATACCAGGGTGAGAGAGCAGGTAGTGATGGGCGCGTACTGCTCGACACCCTGGGTACGAGGTTGCTATAGTCCATCATTTGCAGCCATCCGAAAAGTAACTGGCGTAATTATTGTTGAAAAACAAACTTGGTTGAAAGATATGAACTAAACTCCCTGTGAAATTATTCTTTCTGGGAAGCTGTCAAGAAGGCATTTCCAACGGTGATTCTTAAGAAGCACTGCAGGAAAATCTTAAATTAGTAGCTCGCCCAGCTAACACATTCACGTTGTAACAACGTTGCAAAAAGGTCACGTTTTCGTGGCGGCAACGTTCAGAAAATTACGTTGCGGCAACGTAAAAATGTCGACTCGCGTGCACGTTGCCACAAGGCTATTACACAACGTTTAAATGATGTTATAAAAATGTCAATGAAACATTTATTACAACGTTTTTAGTACACGATCCTGCAACCCTCCAGCAACGTAATTGTCACCTTTATACAACGTCTTGGCACGTAAATGCAACATGATTAAGACATGATTACCACCATGACGGAACGTTACTGCAACTTAATGACGACTTAAAATATACATTTATACAACCTTGTGGGGACATGATTACACCATGATTGGCACGTTACTGCAACTTGTATTGGGATGTTCCTGCAACCTTATAGGCACGTTACGACAACTCTTTTGCCACGTTAATGCAACTTGTTGGACATAACTACAACCTGATAGGCACGTTTCTACAACCTTTATGGGGACGTTCCTACAACTTTATGGGCACGTCAGGGCAACTTTTTGGCCACGTTAATGCAGCTTGTAGGACACATTATTGCAACTTCATGGCCACGATGTGGGGACGTTTCTACAACCTTAATTGTTAGCACGTCAATGACTCATTACAGACGTTACTGCAACTAAGTCCACAAGTTCCAGTAACTTTGTGGGCACCTCACAACTTTTCAAAAACTTTCACGCAACTTATTGGATACATCACTGCAACTTTGTGGGGACCTTTTAGCAACATTGTTCCTGGCACGGTTAATTAACGAAACTAATCGTGCAACGACGATATACCTGTCTGCAAACAATAAAAAAAAATTAACCATCAGACTTACTGTTTCTACATTTATTACAAAGAATGTATCCGGTGAATGCATGGAAGCAAACCTTCGTCAATCATTATTATTACAAAGCTAGTATAAATCTGATATAACAGTACAATGTCGCTTTCAGTTCGCCTATTTAAAAATAACACATTAAAGCCTCTTGTGTCAGATTTTGTTTATATAATTATACATGTATTCATCTTCAGCAAGGATGGGCACAAGTCTATTTATATGCATATATTAACCTTTAGCAAGGATTTAAATGTCCTGAAATTGCTAAGCTGGGTAGGCGTACATCTCCGGGTGACTACTAGTTATGCCAGAAGTAACTTTAACGTAAAATATTATTCTAAAGGGCAACGTGGGACTGAGTTTTCTGACAACATATTTTATGTTTTCCGTTCATTTTTGAGTTTCATCCCGAAAACACAATTGGTTTTTAAACATTGCTATCTTAGTAATTCAAAAGTTACACAATTTGAACGAACTTTGTCAACAAAAATATCAGGACGATTTTACTATTGGCAAGTAAGTTTATATAATTTAACTGTTTGCGTTCTCATTGGAGTCAATCCCATATCCGTTTAGAATCGATTATACAATGAAAAGGGACATCATGAACCAGTCTACTTGCATAGTGGATCTGCGCGGCCTAAAATGATAAAACCTCCTATTTTTCTCCAATATACAATGCTCCCTCCCCCCCCCCCCAACAAAAAGAAATAATAATATGTAACCGGGGAGAGCGAAATTTAGTTAGTTAAAAATGTGGCACTCTCCTTTCAACCGAGGGGTTCCACTAAAAACTGATTTGGGTGGAGCGAAGTTTCTGTTTGTCTCAAGAATATCAAATGGTTTATTTACAGCACAAATATGAGACAATATATATACAAATTATCAAGTACAGTATTTACAAAAAGAATTATATTAGGAACTTTGGTGAGTATATAAAAACAGAACTTTGTTGGGTCTATAAAAACGACAGTCAAAAAGGGACAATAGGGTGGTGAACTGTCACTCCAAGGATGGTATCTGAAATGCATAAAAACAATACATGACTAATGAATTATGGGAATAACTTCCAGATCCAAATACAGTATTAACGATATTTAATTTCAAAGAAATTTGGGAAAAACTGGTTTCCTTATTTGTAAATCAAAGAAAACTTTTTTTATAAGTACATCAGTCAGTGAAGAGAATGTTGCATAAAAATGACTGTTGCATAAAAAGATTCAGGCATAAACAGCTTCAGTCATAAAAGAGTTAAATATCAGACAAGGGATTTACTCACCACTTGGGATGGTCTACGCTCATGCCTACTCCGTGTCCGATGTTAAAATCGATGTAGAAGCAGCAAAAATATTGTAAAATGCAATGCCGGCAACGCCGGATATAAAATTATATTGCTGCTATCGGGGAGCCGCACCCAAAACTTGCAGAAAAAGTGGAGTGTGCAATGCTCGCTGTAAATGCTGGTCGCAAAGCAGGAGCAGAACCAGGCAGATAGATGTCAACCCAAAGCAGAGTTGGAACGGAATCAACAATATTTTGGACCTAGCCCTACAAGAAAACTATACCGAAACGCCCGGAATGTCAGCTATTCCTCTTAAACAAAGCGCGGTGGAATGTAAAACTCGCATGCTCGATACGCCCATCGCATAGTTGATCAAAATTCTAGGCGGCGCGCGCTGTAAAAAGAGTTTAGTTGGCCGCGAGAGGGCCCTAGGCAAAAAGCATGATCGCAATGGCTGCTCACATGTAAAATGACATAAAAACGAAGTTACAAAAGTTATGAAATGAATGCTGGAGTACATGGAGTAAGGAACCTGTCGGGTAAAAGTAAGTACTGAAACCCGACCTGGTTACAAATACTTTCTCCATTACCATTAATTAGTCATTGGGGCTTCACCTTATATTTCTTTGGTTCTCATTTTTTAATCGACCCGATTTTGGGATATGTTTTTCCGCCGACAATTTCCAAAACCCCATTCACAGACGATTATTTTTTTTCCATATTAAAAAACAAAGAATATTGCATTCGAGCAACTAGCTCTGTGTTATTCTGAAATGTTATTTAAATTGAATATCATATTTTTTTCTCGACTTGAAAATTACCGCTTACGGAAATCAGAGGAAGAAAGACAGATGAGAATGTTGCCTCTCATTATAATATTGCTGCCACTACAACTAAATTGTTAATGAGATGCTTCGTCCAGACATTACTGTAAGTCGTCTATAATTGGCCAAAATGTTTTTTTTTAAATCTTATTCAGTGATATCAAATCATGATAAACTTATTGCATCATTTAGTTTACCATCTTTACGAGTGCAACTTTAGTTCAGATTGTTATTCCTTTTGACTGACCGACCAGGCTTCATATAAGGGCAAATAAAAATAATTATGAGAACCATGGAGATAAATAGAGAAGCCCTGATAGGCCTACAAGAAAACAAATTTTGAAGAGCACGAACGATGCACTTATTTTCAAGCAAAAGATGCAGTGTCGTTATTCATCATCTGCAGGGTTTGCAGCAGTGTTGTAGTCGAGGCCACAACCTCCGAGGCCGAGGCCAAGGCCGAGGCCACAACCTTCGAGGCCAAGGCCGAGGCCGAGGCCACAACCGCGAGGCCAAGGCCAAGGCCGAGGCCAACACCTCCGAGGCCAAGGCCGAGGCCGAGGCCAGCTATCAAAACACGTAATAAAATATAAATCACTAAAACAAGGATAAGATTATGTTGGAGTTTTAACATCTTTTTAGTTGAATTCACTGAGTTTTGGAGTGCCTGGCTTATAAATTTACAGCTTGCAATGGGTTTCCTCTTGTAGGGAGTCCGGCGAATTTTATTTTTTAAAGAAAGAAATCTCAAGTTTTGTATCACTGAAAGAAAATTACACAACAAAATCAATGACGTTTAAATCAGGCTCATAGGTGTTTGCCCTTTGAGATACAACAATTTAAATGGCCAAATTTTGAGTTTCTATTCTGTAAGATTTACATCATTTACTTTTAGCATGTTTTATAAATCTTATTTTCAAAACCTATCAAAATGCTTAATATCATAGGAATCCCCATTAAATAAACAACAACTTGATTTTTGAATCAGGTTTTTACCACTCATAACCAAAAAGTTACGACCGCCCCCCCCTGACCTTCGCACTGTCCAGGCGCGCGCCGAGCAAACACCGCGATGCGACAAGACAATGCCAGACGGCCCGCCGTTACGCACGGGCAAAGCATAGTTCCAATCCCGCTTCACACAACGGGATAAGTGTCCACGCATTATCACTGTTAATACCGCGGTACCAGACAAAGTCTGTCAATGGCCAATCCCGCTCCAAACAACACGGCAACACGGAACATGCGTGCATGATATCACTCAGTTCATCAAAATGACCATGAATTCTCGGATCATCCGATTTGAATCCAACTTGGCTTCAAAGTATTTTAAGATCATGGCAAGAGGTAGGGAGTCCAGAGGTTTTGGCCGTATATCTGTAACCACGCAAAATTAGTCGATTTCAAACCGTGCTTATACATGTAATAAGTATCAACATGGCTCTAAAAATACACAAAAAAAATTCCTGGTACCACGAGGAATACTGACTCCTATTATTAAAACATTCATTCAGAACTTTGCATTCATTTGGATGGAAAAACGAACTTTGAAATCGCGCTTTCCATATCATATCGACCATTTGCGCCAAACATTACCGTGTGAGCCGGAACTTTCAAATCACCGTGTAAAAATAAAGTCTACTTTGATAAATCGTAATTGTTTTTATCATATCTTTATGAAAAAAAATGGTACGGACTAGTACACTGGATTGTACCCAGAAAGTTCAGACTTTTACTGAAACAGTGGCCTATAAAAAGAAATGATTAAGCTTGCCGCACCTTGTTTGCCGCAAATCATTTTTAAAGGTCGGGGTACAGAGGCGAAACGAGAAAATTATTTTTGTACAACACTGCAACCAGACTAGTCTACTACCACATGTTTTGTACGCAAATGGATTGGTGCCAGACTTATGTAGTCTGGCACGCGGTAACAGTTATAACGCTTGCACGCACGTGGAAAGCTGAAGCGCAGGCTAGGCGAAGATGCTACGTACGTGAGTACATTCAATGCAACCATTTCCAGTTCATTCGTGCGTACATTGTATGCGTTCGTTTCATGGAACCCACTGCGGCAGAATCTCAAGGATTTGATACGGTAAAAAATTAATTAATTAGAATAGAAAACACATCAAAATGGGCGGCCTCGAGCCGGCCTCGACCGATTCGCCGAGGCCGGAAGGCTCCGAGGCCGAGGCCAAGGCCGAGGCCTTGCACCCTGAGGCCAAGGCCGAGGCCGAGGCCATGAAAATCGGCCTCGAGGCCGGCCTCGAGGCCGAGGCCGGCCTCGAGACCTCCAACACTGGTTTGCAGGGTCGACAGGGTCTACAGGGTCGGCGGGCTGAACAGCGTTGGCAGGGTCAACAGGGTTGGCAGGATTCTGCACACACACAAAATAGAAAAAAATTAATGTAAAGATTTTTCCAGATGGTGGACAACCGATGATGACCAACCGACTTATTTTTGGATTATCTGTCACTTGTTTTTGGATCATTATTGTGCATGAGAAGGTAAACAAAATGTACTGACATTTCATTTTTGTGTTCCGCAAGCGTACTGCGATTAATGCTTCAAAGGCAACTCTAATAAAGAGTACACTTTCTGCAAACAACTTCCAGTGCCGGTACAAGTTTGTATATCTTGGATAGATATTACACTGTTGTCTTCAGCCATTTGTGTGAAGTCGACATTACGATGACTTTGCCTTATATAAAAGAGTTGTTTTCTTACTCTGTAGGCCAAGGCCTACTTGTTAATTTAACAGGCAACTTAATATTTGGTATTCTGTGGTATCCTTGACTCCCAAAGAGCGGGTTTTTTAATATATAAGGAAATTTCACAAACTGAGACACTTCAGTTGTTGATGCCATTAAATGCAGATGGTTTTTCTCTTTCGCGTGAATTGTGAACAGTTACAAACTTTGATGTCGTGAAAATCTTGCTGTGAATCATGGCAGGTGTAGCTAGCTAGGCCTATTTCGGATTGAATGGTTGTATATACTCACACGACACGTAGGCCTAATTGAGTATCAAGGTTTAAAACCCACCGCACACGAGAGCTATGTGCTGAACAAAAACTCATTCAAGGCTGTTTGCTCAGCAAAATATGTAGCTCACAATATATCACTGTGTGGGGTGAATTTTTGCCGAGTTTTCTTTTGCGATGCCGTGAGGCAAATATCTATCCTGTTTGGGTTTGGTTTTTTTGCCTTGCAAGGCAAAAAAGTCACTGTGTGCAGGCAACCAAAGCCACGTGCTGAGCCAAATGAATTGAAATCACGTACTCCGTACACATGATTTTATGATATTGTTGTGCAATTCTTCTAAAGCCTGTTGGCGTTTCTCCCCATTTTTGAAATCATGCGACCGACGAACAAGAATAATGTGCTGTCAATGGCAAGTTATTAATTTTTTTTTTGGCTCAACACATAGCTCTGGTGAGCGGTGGACTTGAGGGATGGTGGAATATACCCAATTTGCCAGGAAATTCAACTGTAGGCTGGATATCCTAATCCCTCCTGCCTTGGCTAGCGGTTTAAACCTTGACAAGCTGCTGCCGTTGACTGCCGGCCAGTAGAGGGCCGTTTTCACGTCCAGCTCTCGCAGATGCATCAGGGAACTGACAAGACTACGGCAGATGAGATTCTTGAGCATCTTTTCTAGGTAGGCCTGGGGGTAGTCACCGTCCTTTTGGATCCTGAGCCTGTATCACCGGGCCCAGGCCATGACGGTGTCCGGAAACTGCTCCATGAAGTCCCCGTAAATGAAGAGGGTTAGAGGGAGCCAGGTGGGGTAGGCCTGGAGGGAGGAGATGACCTTATGGGCCCGCTTGTGGTTCATGCCGATGGCTACGGCTAAAGAGACTGAACCTGGCTGGCAGAGGGAGTAGATCTCACCAGCCGTGCCTGGCGTGTTGAGTGGGATCTGTGGTAGGCATAAACAGGGAGAAATTTAATGATGTAGTTGTGTCATTCAAACGTCCTCACAAGTCCACCACAAGCCCATCACACGTCCTCTAATATCAAGTCAAGTAACAAGCTATTCAAATGGATAACTTGGACAGAAGCAGTTTTTGTTTAATTGTTTTGTGAAATGCCTTGTGATTTACATTTGACCGGATTTGTGGTTGACTCAACTACTTCACTAGAAATTCGTACATTGTGTAAAAAAAAGTCCTATTTTTCATCCTGAATAACTTTGTTGTTTACAGATCATGTAAACAAGGCATGACAAATTTAATGGACTGAGTTTCATCAACTTTTTGCAAGAGAGTCAGATTTAAACGCCATACAAAAATAATACCCACTCTCAGAATGTCGATACAGCACTGGAGACGGTGGGGGAAGGCGCGTGCTACAGCCGAAAGCTTCACGAAGGAACGTAGGATTTCCCCTGATGTCATTGCACATCGCCTCGATCATGAGGATTGAGGAGGTGTGCAATGACATCAGGGGTGATCCTGTCTCCAGCGCTGTATCAACATTGGAGGACGCCGAAGCAAAAGTGGCAGATTCTGAAAGTGAGTAATTGTTTTCAAATGGCGTTTACATCTCACCCTCTTGCACAAAGCTCATGAAACTCACTCCATAAAATCTGTCATGCCTTGTTTACATGATCTGAACATTTGGTTTAATTCTATTGGTAAACAAGAGAGTTATTTAGTATAAAAAGCAATGATGGGCGTGGGATTTGCAGGGTGGTTGTGAGCAATACATCGATAAAGTTGGAAAAACATACTTCAGGCGGGTGGAGTTTCTTGAAGTCGCTGTATGTGTGCCTGTCTGCCTCCCATTCCTTCAGTATGAAACCTGCCTCTCCGATGTCAAGGACAAGCTGGTTCTTGCTCTTCTGTGACAAACCCATGGGCTGGCTGATACTCATCGTACAACCTGCAAAGGTATCATATAGACAAATTATCACTGCTTTTTCGCAGCTTCTTCCCGCATACTCTCCATCTGTTGAATTTCTTGTCAGAATCATATGTTTTACTCAGGTGGCTTTAAGTCTTGAGGTCGGCGAATTTAAATAAAAAGCAGTGTTTTAGTCAGACAAGTATAGTCTCATCTGAACACGTCATCACTTCACATGCACTGAGGCCTCTGTCAATGAAAAAAGCATTGTGTCAGTTATATGGTACAGAAAAAACCTCATGATGGAGTTTAGTCTGCACAGTTGTTGGCACAATGCATTCTTCATTGAAAGGAGATGTCGGGGGTACTAAAATTTACAAGTACTTAACTTTTAAATCAACGAAAACTGCCCGTCATCTTCTGCACCAGAGACCCTCATCTTCTTCTTCATGGACCAGCACAGGACACAAGTACAAAAAGACAAAAAAGATACTGCAAAAAAAAAAAAGAACAATGTAAATACCAGTCACAAATGTACATCTTTCAAAATTCCACATAAATAACACATACAAATACAAAGAAAGAGTTCATTTCCAGCAAGACGCGATGCTATTTCGTTACACTTTTCATGCGGCGCGCACTCAAATTTCGACTTGTTGTCATACAATAAAGCTCCCAAAATATAAGAACTTTCAGTTGCACAATTTTCAGAAAAAAAAGACTGCCAAATATAGGCAGGACTATGTTAATATCAGTCACAAATGTACATCTTTCAAAATTCAACACATACATAAAAAACACATACACATGCAAAGAAAGAGTTCACTTCCAGCCAGACGCGATGCTATGATTTCGTTATGCTCTTCATGCTGCGCCCACTCAATTTCGACTTGTTGGAGACAATAAAGCTCCCAAAATATCAGAAGTTTCAGTCGCACAATTTCAGACATTTTGCGCAAGTGTTCCAAATGGCAAGATCGCGGGTTTCGGAAATAAACTCTTAGACTTCAACACAGAGAGAAGGGCCCACACTACATCAAACAAAACAACACGGTTGTCCTGCCCCCAGATCTGAAAAGAGGACAGTGATCCAACTTTTCAGACCCGAGTTCAAGAGGGGGTAAAATTTACAACTACTTAACTTTGAAATCGACGAAAGCTGCCCGTCATCTTCTTCACCAGCGATCCTCATCTTCTTCCTCATGGACCTGCACAGGACACACGGACAAAAAGACAGAAAAAAAAGACTGCCAAATATAGGCAGGACTATGTTAATATCAGTCACAAATGTACATCTTTCAAAATTCAACACATACATAAATAACACATACACATGCAAAGAAAGAGTTCACTTCCAGCCAGACGCGATGCTATGATTTCGTTATGCTCTTCATGCTGCGCCCACTCAATTTCGACGACTTGGAGACAATAAAGCTCCCCGAATATCAGAATTTTCAGTCACACAATTTCAGACATTTTGAGCAAGTGTTCCAAAATGGCAAGATAGCGGGTTTCGGAAATAAACTCTTAGACTTCAACACAGAGACAAGGGCCCACACTACATCAAACAAAACACCCAGTTGTCCTGCCCCAAGATCTGAAAAGAGGACAGTGATCCAACTTTTCAGACCCGAGTTCAAGAAAGGGTAAAATTTACAACTACTTAACTTTGAAATCGACGAAAGCTGCCCGTCATCTTCTTCACCAGCGACCCTCATCTTCTTCCTCATGGACCTGCACAGGACACACGGACAAAAAGACAGAAAAAAAAGACTGCCAAATATAGGCAGGACTATGTTAACATCAGTCACAAATGTACATCTTTCAAAATTCAACAAATACATAAATCACACATACACATGCAAAGAAAGAGTTCACTTCCAGCCAGACGTGATGCTATGATTTCGTTATGCTTTTCATGCTGCGCCCACTCAATTTCGACTTGTTGGAGACAATAAAGCTCCCAAAATATCAGAATTTTCAGTCGCACAATTTCAGACATTTTGCGCAAGTGTTCCAAATGGCAAGATCACGGGTTTCGGAAATAAACTCTTAGACTTCAACACAGAGAGAAGGGCCCACACTACATCAAACAAAACAACACGGTTGTCCTGCCCCCAGATCTGAAAAGAGGACAGTGATCCAACTTTTCAGACCCGAGTTCAAGAGGGGGTAAAATTTACAACTACTTAACTTTTAAATCGACGAAAGCTGCCCGTCATCTTCTTCACCAGCGACCCTCATCTTCTTCTCATGGCCTGCACAGGACACACGGACAAAAAGACAGAAAAAAAGACTGCCAAATATAGGCAGGACTATGTTAATATCAGTCACAAATGTACATCTTTTCAAAATTCAACACATACATAAATAACACATACACATGCAAAGAAAGAGTTCACTTCCAGCCAGACGCGATGCTATGATTTCGTTATGCTCTTCATGCTGCGCCCACTGATTTCGACGACTTGGAGACAATAAAGCTCCCCGAATATCAGAATTTTCAGTCACACAATTTCAGACATTTTGAGCAAGTGTTCCAAATGGCAAGATAGCGGGTTTCGGAAATAAACTCTTAGACTTCAACACAGAGACAAGGGCCCACACTACATCAAAAAAACAACACGGTTGTCCTGCCCCAAGATCTGAAAAGAGGACAGTGATCCAACTTTTCAGACCCGAGTTCAAGAAAAGGGTAAAATTTACAACTACTTAACTTGAAATCGACGAAAGCTGCCCGTCATCTTCTTCACCAGCGACCCTCATCTTCTTCCTCATGGACGCACAGGACACAGACACGGACAAAAAGACAGAAAAAAAAAGACTGCCAAATATAGGCAGGACTATGTTAACATCAGTCACAAATGTACATCTTTCAAAATTCAACACATACATAAATCACACATACACATGCAAAGAAGAGAGTTCACTTCCAGCCAGACGCGATGCTATGATTTCGTTATGCTTTTCATGCTGCGCCCACTCAATTTCGACTTGTTGGAGACAATAAAGCTGCCAAAATATCAGAATTTTCAGTCGCACAATTTCAGACATTTTGCACAAGTGTTCCAAATGGCAAGATCGCGGGTTTCGGAAATAAACTCTTAGACTTCAACACAGAGACAAGGGCCCCAAACTACATCAAACAAAAACAACACGGTTGTCCTGCCCCCAGATCTGAAAAGAGGACAGTGATCCAACTTTTCAGACCCGAGTTCAAGAGGGGGTAACATTTACACCACTACTTAACTTTGAAATCGACGAAAGCTGCCCGTCATCTTCTTCACCAGCGACCCTCATCTTCTTCCTCATGACCTGCACAGGACACACCGTACACGACAAAAAGACAGAAAAAAAAGACTGCCAAATATAGGCAGGACTATGTTAACATCAGTCACAAATGTACATCTTTCAAAATTCAACACATACATAAATAACACATACACATGCAAAGAGAGTTTCACTTCCAGCCAGACGCGATGCTATGATTTCGTTATGCTTTTCATGCTGCGCCCACTCAATTTCGACTTGTTGGAGACAATAAAGCTCCCAAAATATAAGAATTTTCAGTCGCACAATTTCAGACATTTTGCGCAAGTGTTCCAAATGGCAAGATCGCGGGTTTCGGAAATAAACTCTTAGACTTCAACACAGAGACAAGGGCCCACACTACATCAAACAAAACAACACGGTTGTCCTGCCCCCAGATCTGAAAGAGGACAGTGATCCAACTTTTCAGACCTGAGTTCAAGAGGGAGTAAAATTTACAACTACTTAACTTTTAAATCGACGAAAGCTGCCCGTCATCTTCTTCACCAGCGACCCTCATCTTCTTCCTCATGGACCTGCACAGGACACACGGACAAAAAGACAGAAAAAAAAGACTGCCAAATATAGGCAGGACTATGTTAATATCAGTCACAAATGTACATCTTTCAAAATTCAACACACATACATAAATAACACATACACATGCAAAGAAGAGTTCACTTCCAGCCAGACGCGATGCTATGATTTCGTTATGCTTTTCATGCTGCGCCCACTCAATTTCGACTTGTTGGAGACAATAAAGCTCCCAAAATATCAGAATTTTCAGTCGCACAATTTCAGACATTTTGCGCAAGTGTTCCAAATGGCAAGATCGTGTGGGTTTCGGAAATAAACTCTTAGACTTCAAACACAGAGACAAGGGCCCACACTACATCAAACAAACAACACGGTTGTCCTGCCCCCAGATCTGAAAATAGGACAGTGATCCAACTTTTCAGACCCGAGTTCAAGAGGGGTACAATTTACAACTACTTAACTTTTAATCGACGAAAGCTGCCCGTTCATCTTCTTCACCAGCGATCCTTATCTTCTCCTCATGGACCTGCACAGGAACACACGGACAAAAAGACAGAAAAAAAAGACTGCCAATATAGGCAGGACTATGTTAATATCAGTCACAAATGTACATCTTTCAAAATTCAACACATACATAAATAACACATACACATGCAAAGAAAGAGTTCACTTCCAGCCAGACGCGATGCTATGATTTCGTTATGCTTTTCATGCTGCGCCCACACTCAATTTCGACTTTTGGAGACAATAAAGCTCCCAAAATACCAGAATTTTCAGTCGCACAATTTCAGACATTTTGCGCAAGTGTTCCAAATGGCAAGATCGCGGGTTTCGGAAATAAACTCTTAGACTTCAACACAGAGACAAGGGCCCACACTACATCAGACAAAACAACACGGTTGACCTGCCCCCAGATCTGAAAAGAGGACAGTGATCCAACTTTTCAGACCCGAGTTCAAGAGGTGGTAAAATTTACAACTACTTAACTTTTAAATCGACGAAAGCTGCCCGTCATCTTCTTCACCAGCGACCCTCATCTTCTTCCTCATGGACCTGCACAGGACACACGGACAAAAAGACAGAAAAAAAAGACTGCCCAATATAGGCAGGACTATGTTAATATCAGTCACAAATGTACATCTTTCAAAATTCAACACATACATAAATAACACATACACATGCAAAGAAAGAGGTTCACTTCCAGCCAGACGCGATGCTATGATTTCGTTATGCTTTTCATGCTGCGCCCACTCAATTTCGACATGTTAGAGACAATAAAGCTCCCAAAATATCAGAATTTCAGTCGCACAATTTCAGACATTTTGCGCAAGTGTTCCAAATGGCAAGATCGCGGGTTTCAGAAATAAACTCTTACACTTCAACACAGAGACAAGGGCCCACACTACATCAAACAAAAACACACGGTTGTCCTGCCCCAGATCTGAAAAGAGGACAGTGATCCAACTTTTCAGACCCGAGTTCAAGAGGGGGTAAAATTTACAACTACTTAACTTTTAAATCGACGAAAGCTGCCCGT